ATACTTTCCTCCCCAAAAACAGTGATGATCGTGCGATGAGATTCAGCTGGTGATTTTCCTTGTTTAAAATCGTAGAACAATGCAGCTCGAATACGGAATTTTTTGTCCTCCATTTTTTGCCAAAAAGCAAATGATGAAATTTGGAGCACTGAATGTTATTTATGTAGACATCTTTTACTTTGTATATATGCAAAAAAAGAGGGAAGAAACGGCGCTTGAAATTACAAAAAACATGTTAAGTAGTGACGCGTCATTATTAAGTTGCCAACCTAATATTAGAGAGAATACGGTATTAGCACTTTTATAGATTAGCCAGTGGTTTCAAAACCGCTGGAAGGTCGGAGTCCCAATCGGTCGAGATTATCACTAAAGATTATCGCCAGATTATCACCAAAGCCTATTCCATACCCTCTTTCTTTTCTACAATAGCAAAGGCTTGCCCCGTTTCAGTCTACTATTTCCCGACTTTATCACATCCCAATCCTTCTCACCGCTATTTCCTCTAACCACTTCGATCCATCTTCTAACCACTTCGATTTCCTCATAACTCACCAATACCCACCTCATTCATTCCCTTTTAACCTCTTCAGCTTTTACCATTCACCCCTCCCACCCTTTTATCTCATTCCCTCAATTAAACCTACCAATTCTCCCTTTTATATACAGGGTGGCTGACAATTACGTGCGCGCAGCATCAGCATCATAGTTTTAAACAATGTATAAAGCATTACTACTCATCTTTTTGTGTTTTAATATTCTTTTTATCGTGGTCTAATAATTTTTTGCTAAAAAAGTTGTTTTCTAGGTCATGACAAAGACGTGCGCTAGTCGGGACGCAATCGCACAGCTGGCGACGAGCGGCATGAAGAACTCGTCGATCGCATCGAGGCTTGGGATGGCTCTGAGGACCGTCCAGAAGATCGTAAAGCAATGGAAAGATGAGGGGCATGTTCAGTCCAAGCCCGGAAGAGGACCAAAGAGGACCGTTAACACCCGAAAGATGCGTGGGATCATCAAGAGGAGGATCGAGCGAAAAGACGATCGTAGTTTGAACAAGATGGCAAAACAGCTTCAAATTTCGCGTTTCTCGGTTCAATCGATAGTGAAAAATGAGCTCGGACTTCGAAGTTATCGACTGTTAAACGGGCAAGTGCTCACCGATCAAGCCAAGCAAAACCGGAAGGAGAAATGCAAGAAATTGCGAGCTTTTTTCAAGGTGCGGCGCATTGACGATGTTCTTTGGTCAGATGAGAAGATTTTCACCTTGGAAGTGGCTAAAAACTCACAAAATCACCGTCAACTTCTCAGTCCAGCTCTCAAGAGCACTCGTAAACGAAAAGTCGCTACAAAAGGTCTGTTTCCAAAAAGTTTGATGGTTTGGGGTGGCATTAGTGCTTCGGGCAAGACCCCGTTGGTTTTTATCGATAAAAATGTGAAGATTAACGCAAAAGTCTATCAAAAAGAGATTCTCGAGAAAGCTGTGGTGCCATGGAAGAGGAGCCATCCCAATTTGACCCTTCAACAAGATTGGGCGCCGGACCACGGAGCCAAAACACCAATTCGCTTTCTCGAAACCAAAATTGGCTCTTTTTTGACGAAGGATCAATGGCCTGCAAACAGCCCGGATCTCAATCCGTTGGACTTTTCGGTTTGGGGTTTTATGGAAGAACAATTGAGAAATAGAAAAATCACCAATTTGAATGATTTACGTCGAGAATTGATCAAAATCTGGAACGACTTAGATGCAAATTATCTCCGCCGCACCGTCGATTCTGTAAAGAAGCGAATTGAAGCCTGTATCAAAGCGGATGGAGGCCACTTCGAAAATTTCTTGTGATTATTAAATGCTTTTGTTACAACTATTATATAAATAAAGATTTTTACATTTTCTTTGAAAGAAAATTAAATTATGGCGTTTTCTTTGGCGCACGTAATTATCAGCCACCCTGTATAGTAAATCACAGATGTACCTCCATTCGATTTCTAGCAAAAGTTTGAGGATGTCTGCCATAAACATAAACATATTTTGCCGTAAACATATTTTGCCATAAACATATTTTTCATACCCAACTAAATTTTCCAATACAATTCAATTTTCAAGTATCCGAATTTTTGGAAGTGCCTACCTTTTGACGTCTTCTGATCAGAAGGATCCTCATTACCATCGTGATTTGATTCCAGTAATGCTTCAACTTCTTTTTCAAGATTGCTACTCTGTGGTTTTGGCTTGAAGAAGATATGAATTGAGATTCCAAATATAAATTGCCAAAGTCGAGAAATGAGGAGCCCAAATCCGATAGAGGCTGGGAAGATCTAAACAAACTGAATTTTAATAACCATAGTTACCAACCATTTCAGCCATCAATGATAAAAAAGCCAGAATTCCCATCGCAATGTATTTTGATCGATCGGAAATCGATTGAAGCATCCAAAATATTAATGGCACAAAGAGATAGAATTGCATCTCCACTGACAGAGACCATGTGTGGGCGAGGAATTTGTACTCGGAGATCTGAAAAGGATTTGTATAAGATAATTTGATGTTTTGATGAACTTTAAAGAGAAAAAGTGCACACAAAATGCATAGTCTGCATACCGCAAGCTGTAGACTCCACGCTTTCCACTTGAGTTTTAGTTGTGGATTTGTATTGCACTGCTGATTAATGAATACAGATGCTTTATAATGATCATAGATGGAAATGATTGCTACAGGAAAATTATGGTAACTTTATCGATTTTTTTGAGTCTAGCTCAGTTCTCGATGACTCAAATCAAATAATTCTTTTTTTGCTAGGTTATCGGAAATTTGATACGCGCCGCGCCCCTTTTGCCATTAGCAATCCAACTTTAAACTCAAATATCTTGGTGTTGGGCTGTCCAATTTAAATGGTTTTTGTACCAATCGACAGATAAAGACTTGGCGCATCCAATGACACCTCAAAATTAGATTGCTACTGGCAAAAGGGGCCGGATGACGGACCTTTTATACGTGCCCCGCCCCCTTTGCCATTAGCAATCCAACTTTAAACTCAAATATCTTGGGGTTGGGCTGTCCAATTTAAATGGTTTTTGTACCAATCGACAGAGAAAGATTTGGCGCATCTAGTGATATCAAGAATATTTTAATTGGACAGCCCAACACCAAGAAATTTGAGCTCAAAGTTAGATTGCTAATGGCAAAAGGGGCGTGTATCAAATGATAACCAATTGTCTTTCTAACGTTTAAACATACCACTCACCAATTCAAAGCAATCGATAGTGGTGAACAATGGTTGCATATTTGAAAAAATCCCCATCGAATAGAATGCATCGACGAAGAGATTGTCTCGATCAACTGTAGACAGACATAACCGGCCAGTCAAAACAACACAGAGAATCATAAACCTGAATTTGTACAATAAAAAAGTTTATTAAAATCCCACCCATAACAAGGCATAATTCTTTTGAAACGTCTCTCGAGAAAGGTGAACGATTTCCCCCATGATGTACCCTTGTCATAAAAGATTCGAGCCATCAAGTAACCAGAAATCACAAAGAACCTGGAAGTCCATTAGGTAGATGTTATTAAAGTAAAATGAGAATAATACTGATAAAGATCATTAGCTAAAGTCAGAGTATTTCAAATGTACATTTTTGTTACAACAAATTCCTATCAAGCTTGGTTTGGTGGTTTGCTGATGGTGATGGGTAAGATACCGTAATCAGTTACTAAACGATATTCCGTTGTCCGTTTCTTGTAACTTTGTGTACTCTAAAATCAATGATATTCAAAGTTGTGCAAAAAAAATCCCAAAACTCCCAGGTCTGTCCCGCTACTTCAGACCAAGTCAGAAGTTCTTTTTTCTACAGTTTCGTACTTTAATTACTACCTACTTATGAAATATGCTAGTGTAAACAATACAATTTGCTACTATTTTTACGGACACCCATCAGCGTCATGTGTAAAGCCACGTACTAACCTTTTCATCTCTATTTTCTGGTTTAGAGAACGAATTGTAGAAAATTGACACGAGACCAAACTGAAAAACGGTATTGGCTCACAGGGATTAATACTAAAAAACTTTTTGAAACCATACTTTTTGCATCTCCAGGTTTGTATAGTTGACGTAGAGTAAACATTAAAATTGTGTAAACATTAAAACTTGAGATACTTTAGACTTTTACAAGTTTTATGATGGAGAGAAAGAGAAGCGGACAGAACTTTTCAGCCACCCTGTATTTAGGTCTGTGGAAACACTCTCGAGACTCATTGTGTCGTCGAAAGGAAAACTTTGTGGTAAACACTCTGTAATCATTTTCACGTAAACATTAGCTTTGTTGAATTGTATTGAAATTCACAAATAAATCACTCACATATCGACGCCCAAGAATCCCAATGGCACCGAATCCTTGTTCAAATGATACAACAAGACATAGAATATGGCCAAGGCTCGAAGGGCTTGGATCTCGCCCAATTTGGTGCTAATTCTGAAATTTTTATTCTAAAATTCTAAAAGCGAAAAAATTGAAATTAACAAGATTGAAATTAACAATGATCCACTTTCTTTCTTGCCAATTTTTGTGTCTTTTTGTCTTCGATCAAAAGATTAAAAGAATGAAAGACGAGATCAGAAACGGCGATAAAGAAGTCTCATGCTAATTTCTGGATTTTCGACTTTTTCCATCTGAAAAGATTCAAGAATCCGAACCGAATTTGGCAAGGGTAGAGCGCCGCACAAGACAGGAGAAGAATAAGGTTGACTTTTTTTGCATTTCAAAGATTTATTATTTTATTTTTGCATATTGCATATTTCAATACATGAAATGCCGATTGTAGAAATGAATGGCAAAGAATTTGGAACCAAGGGGAATTGAACCTTCGATCTTCTGTTTACCGGGCAGATGCTCTACTACTGAGCTATTAGCGCCTTTTTTGGTCAAGAAGAAATAGAAAATACAAGGAAATATTCAATAAGATTGTTCTCTTCAGCTTGCAATCTGGTGAGGTGCTCAAACTAGCGATGGACGCTTTCCGTGATCAACGAGAAAATCTTCAGCGCTGCTTTCAAGTTTTCGAGAGATTCGTGGTTGGACGGCCAGCTGAAAGGTGGATAAAACATTAGTTTTTATATTATTTTTTTAGGCTGCTGATTCTCACCGATCAGAACATCTACATTCTTTCACAGAGCTTAACGACAGATAATCAGGATACAAGCCAGTGAGTTGAATCGCGATTGAAAGAGATTTAAATCTATGCTGGTCATTTGTATTCCAAATGGTTTTAGAGCCAATCTATCAATGAATCTAGCAAGCTATAACCTGTTCAGGTGCCAAGTTCTAGCTTTTGGCAGGTTCAGGCACTTTTTGAGGCCACGTCTGTAGTGCAATTAGGTTAAGCAAAGACTTGACCTGAAAAACCTGGCCTGAATGGGTTTGGTCCAAAAAAATGCATGAATAAGATAGCTAAAACAGAGAACATAGATCAATAGCCATTAGTTATCAAAATAGGCACAATATTTTCAGAGTACAAGAAATGACGAGCAGCTCTCAAGTCGAGTATCATTCGCATTGCGAGGCGGCTATGGACGCAATCGATTACATTGGTTTGACCGATGATTTTCAATCGGTTCTACTCTTTGCAAAGCAAGGGACAAATTTTAAAATTTAAATTAAAATTAAAAAATTGGCAAGAAAGGAAGTGGATCATGCTTGTCAATTTCAATTTTTTAGCTTTTAGAATTTTAAAATAAAAATTTCAGAATGAGCACCAAATTGGGCGAGATCCAAGCCCTTCGAGCCTTGGCCATATTCTATGTCTTGTTGTATCATTTGAACAAGGATTCGGTGCCATTGGGCTTCTTGGGCGTCGATATGTGAGTGATTTATTTGTGAATTTCAATACAATTCAACAAAGCTAATGTTTACGTGAAAATGAGAATGAACGCGCGTGATACCTTGTTGCGACAATTATGGCGCACCCTGTATGTTCAAATCCTGAGCACCATCCAGCACCTTGAGTTGTTCTTTGAGGTTACGATCGACAAAAGTGCATCGAATCGTTGTCTTCAAGCCATTTTAGATGTTTAGATTTTTAGATGAGTTCACGGACAATAACTTGTTGATTTAAGCTTCATTTCTGGCTTTTTTGTGTTTTTCATATGAAATGTATTTTTTTTAGAATGGCCGGAAAATCCCCCATCGACAATCGATCATCGAATTGCACAAGCGAGGAGTCTCGGCGCCGGAGATTCATAAGCGTCTTAAAGTCGACAGAAGTGTCATTTTCCGCACGATTCAACGCTACAAAGCTACGGGAACAATTGCTGATGTCTGTGGATTGTCTGTCGATTCAATTGTTTTTCTAAGCCAGGGCAACTTTTCATTAAACATCTAGATGAGGAGATTAAGTTTAAGAGTCTTTTGTTTAAAACCTGTAAACCATAGATCCATCTTTGTTTGTACGAGCGTGTCGTAACACAAAATGCTTCTTTCCTCGAAATGCTTCTTCGAAGATGAGCTTCTTTCCATTCGATGAATATATTGATTGCATAATCTAAACATTAGAAATTCTACAAATCAAGGACAATACAACATACCTCAATATGTGTTAGAGTGTTAGTGTGGACTGCTACACTCCTTCTTATCTAGAATATTAATACTTAGCATGGATGAAATACGGTGAAGAAAAAGTGAATGTGAAAAACAAGTGATACGAGATATAAAAATCGTAAATGTTGAAATAAAATGACGCAAATTTTACTATTGAATAACTTTTGCGGCGCAAGTTTCGCTTTATTTAATGGCGCAAAACTTCCCGTTACGCGACTTTCACTTTTGACAGCGCCGCGCAGGTTTTGCCGCGCAGGCTTTGCGGCGCAAGTTTTGCAATTGACATAGATTTTTTGCGCAAGAAAAGACAAAAAGGCAAGGCAAGACCTGCGCGTTTTCAAGACTTTTATTGACCAAAGTGTGAATCGCCCAGCCTTGAAGCCCAGCCATTAGATCTGGATCAACTTTGTCCAAACTAGGCAATGCATGTCTGATTATCATATTAAAAATTTATAAAAAACTATGATAAAAACTGATGAAACAAAAAACAAAGAGTGTTATCAAGAATTAGTGCTCAACCTAATATCCGTCTACCAAATCTGGTTTGGTATGGGAGAGTGCGCTGGTGGGGCCACCAAGATGACTACCACGACAACCACCACTACTATATAAACTTACCACTACTACCACTAGAACAACGACTACATCAACCACCACATCAACCACTACTCCGACCACTACTCCAACCACTGGCACCCCTTTTGATCAATGTGCTATTTGCACATATATTGTTGATCAGGTCGAACTTTGAATCAAAAACAAAAGTAAATAATAGTCGTTAGAAATAATAGCTTGTACTGATAGTTAGTCAGTATAAGCTTCTTCATCATATCTTGATTTAACATATTTTCATCAAAGTTATAGAAGATGGTTGAGATTGAAAAGCCCTTCTTTGCGTTAGATAACAAAAGGGTCCAGAAATGACAGGTGTCAAAGTGTTGCTCCGGACTGGTCGAAATTTGGGTCAAGACCCGGTGACGCGAAAGACGAGCCCGGTTAGCTCAGTCGGTAGAGCACCAGACTCTTAATCTGGCTGTCGCGGGTTCGAGCCCCGCATCGGGCTGAAGAATTTTTGGCTTTTTCGGAAATCTTGATGAATTTGATTGTCAACAAATAATTTGATTGTCATGACTATTCCCGAACTGAAATTTGTTGAATTTGTTTGTCAAAAAATAAAATGCATGATTATTCTCGAACTGATAGTTTTTACTTTTTCCAAAACTTTTTTAGTCATTAGCTTTCTTTCAAAATGAAAATGTTCTCGTCTACTTCATATCATTACCAAAGGCCCAGTCATTTGGTTCGCTTTCTGGTTCCACTTATGACTTCCTGGTTCAACAACCGAAAGTGCCTAGAATGTTTGCCCAGAAGTTACGAAGATAACAAAATTATGAGGAAGTAACAAATTGTGCCAGATAATCCCGTGGTTTGACTTTGATTTTGCCTTTTTCCATCCGTCAATGGAAAAGTCAATCGGTTTGTAACTTTGAATAAATTTCAAAAAGTCCATTGTTGTCTTTCACTCTTTTGAATCAACGTCGTTCATTCTTTTCAATTTTGGCTTTTTTTTGACCAAATGTGGACCCCTTTAATCCAAATTTTTGAAAAAGTTGTCTGGATTTCCATAAATTTCGACTCGTCTCGACGTTCTATTGAATGAAATGAAAGGGAAAAAAGGGCTGTACTTGTGCTTTGGTACTCTCCAGGTTGATCTGTGGGGTTCAAATGGATCGTATAAATAGATAGGGGTATGAATGGAAATATCATCAACCTTCAATCCACCATCATCTCTTCAAACATGCAAAAACTGGCCGGTCTTCTTCTTGTGGCATTCTCCGTCTTTGAACAGGTAACACTATTGTTAAAGCCTGCTAGATAGTACTGTTGTATACGAGCTCTTATAAACCAATACAACAATATGCAAGTACTACAGTTATATCTTAACAAAACAATGCTAGGACCCTAATATCTAAACAGGTTTTTCATTATCTTCTTTCCAGACAACAGCCCAAACATGTTCTCCCGTGCCATCCTCTGGTTATTGGGTCAATGCTGGACGTAAGTTTTGTCTATGCACAGACAATCACAGTCGAAATTCGATATAACGAACCCCAAAGGACAGGGCAAAATGTTCATTAATTAAATGCTTCGTTGTATCGAAGTTCATTAAATAGAAATTTAGCAACAATATTATTAGCAAATAGTTATTTCTAAATAACAAAATGTTGAAGTTTAAGAAAAAAAATTAGTTAACTGTAATTATTTCTTGCTATTTAAGGCATGATCGTAGAAGAAATTTTCGATTGCATCTTTGAAAACATCTTTAACCCCATCACGTTTTGCATACTTTTCAAACATGTGAAAGTATCGATAGGCCTGTTGATGAGAGATAGTTCAGCTTCGTCTAGTTGGAACTAGGGCCGATCAAAACTCGAGCCTGCGATCTTTCGCTTATCGGGCAACTGTACCAACCATTACACCACAAGGCATTTGATCTCCCTTACTCCAGAGGGAGTTAACTATCTTCCTAAGTCGATTTCGGCGGTTTCTCCTTGTAGTGTTCGACACAATCCCATAACGATTTTTAAATCTGTCGAGCCATCCTCCACTTGCTTGAAAACCATTGATTCCCATCAAATTTTTTCAGCTTATATCTTCGGTACCTGTCCGGATCCATCGACCACTTGCTATGATGATGGTACTGGAGATGCTTGCTGGAGAGCCACCTGTCAACCATTGCCATCCACTGTCACTTGGGGAGCCGGAGGACGTGAGTCATATGAAGCTTGGTTACTAAATAACTTCAAACGAGAGTTGCTTTGAATCTTTCAAATGTTCATTTCTAACCATTTCAGCATCAATCGGTGGCTGTGGCTCCGGCTTCACTTGTTACTATGCGCCCGATGCCTTCGGACCAACCTATTCGGATCAATGCTTCTCCGATTGTCCCCCCGTTCCCGCTGGATACCCATACACCGCTTATGGACGTAAGCTGATTATCAACAAAGATACTAGTATTGTTAAGTATACTTGTATAAGGAACACTGAGTCTTAATGTGACCATCATTTTCAGCTAACATCAACGGATGCAACGATCCAGCAGCCCCCAACTGCTACTACTACAATAACGACAATCAATGCTATCCATAGATCGATGATGGAAGCGGGCAACAGCTCCAATTAATAATGTTTCTTAAAAATAAATATATCTCTTTTCTGGATTATCAGATAGTGTACACTAGACATGGTTTTTTTGGCAAAATAAGATCGAATCGGATCGGGCTAACCCTATCGGTTGAACGGATCGGATCGGAACAGATCGGGCTAGCCCGATTGGTCGGACTGAGCGAAAATTTGTTATCTTAGAGCTGCTACAAAACTCTAATTTCTTGCTCAGAACTCAAATTTATTAGTCTTTAATTGATTTAACTGTTTATAAATTCAAAAAGGAAATGCCAAGTTAACCAAACAACAACAAACTAGCCAGTAAACATTAACAGTAAACAACAAAATTTTACAAAAACAACTTTACGAGGAAACTTAAAGTTCTAATTCGCTACTGTCCATGTCTAGCAAAAGATAATCAACTTCAGACTCAGACGAAACTTGACTCTAACAGACAGAAAGAAACAGAAAGCAAGAAACAGAAAGAAAATCGAAAGACAGAGCTTTCGCTTGTATTTTGTAAATTGCAGATGTAAAATGTTAATCTAATCAGGAAGCCCGATTGGTCGAATTAGATCGGATCGGGCTAGCCCGATCGGTTGGTCCTAACGGATCCGATCAGTCCTGATCCGATCCGATCCGATAACCATGTCTAATGCACACCATTCTATTAGGCCTCTTGATAGATTTGATTACACATTGATACACAAAGCATCTCTTCGCTAAACTTTCAAGGATGAAAACAAATAAACTCAAATCTATGCAATTAGTCAAGCGTGTTACCTGCTGAATCACAGAATTGCACAATGCACATGGATTTGGTACCAGAAGGCTGGTAGTGCTTGAAGTTTGCTACAAAAGCAAGCCATGTTAAGATGATTGATATGAAGTTCAAACCTTGGTAGTTGATAGTGAAGAGTTGGTTGTTGTGGTTGGTGTCGTGATCACCGCAGAACACCAGAACGGTCCTGAAATCGCTATTTCTTTACATAATAGTGTTATTGAATAATGTTTATAAATCGTTCAACAATTGTTTATCAACTTACCGAAATAGGCTTCTTTTGCATCAGGCTTTTTCGTCTTGAAATAGTGACGAGCCTAAAACTGATGATCAAATGAATAGAAAAACTATTTAAGATTATTTACTTGTTTCTTTTATTTTCAGTCGATCATAACACTTTCTTTCAATAAATCAGGTTCCCAAAAAGAAAAATAAATCAGCCCGATGCGGGGCTCGAACCCGCGACAGCCAGATTAAGAGTCTGGTGCTCTACCGACTGAGCTAACCGGGCTATTGTTGGGACTGACCGGGTTTTGGCTGAAATTTCTACCAGTGACACTTTGACACCTCTCATTTATGAACTGTTTTGTTCTCTTTTTGTTTGATCTCTTTTTTTCGTGCTTGGGTGTTTTATTGAACTTTCAGGAACTTTCCTTCAAATATTTCTTTAACTTTCAAAAAAAAAAAACGGCTCTTTCCCGGAAATCTCTTGTAACACGTGGCTTTATTGTTGATCTAATGACGCAACATAAAAGTGAATTTTCGATATTACATTTCATTTTCTTTTCAATTGACTACTTTTCGCCTACTTTTGCGATGACATTTGCCCTACTTTTGACTATATTAATTTTATTTTGGCTTTTTACGTTTTGCTATTAGTTGTGTCTTTAAAGACTTGAGAGCTAAACAATGGATAACACAATTATTTACCGTACCCGAGCAAATAACCACAATTCCCGCCAGCGACAAAAGGGAATCGTTTACGGCTGTTTTATTTGCCATTAATATTTACGAAATTTTACAAAATCTATTTATTCTGGACTAATTTTCTAACATTTTGTCACCCAGTTTGACGAAATTTCCAAATATTTCAAGTTTCCTGGCGCAAATTGGATAGATTTGATTGATTTTTCAACATTTGGAGACAACAACCATCCTCGAATTGATCTGATCTATTATTGAACTCAATTTTTAGTCTTTTGTTACTCAAATCAATTCCAATGGTTTTTAACGTCTACGTATTGCCAATCGTTCTAAAGCACTCTGTATTGGATCTTGTTCAAGTTGATGACTCTACAAAGTTTTTACGTACATCAAAGCAACTCAGAACTTTGGTACTACCGAGATGAGGCTTTCCAAAACGAATTGACGATAAAGTTGAGCTAGAATATTCACCACCTTATGGCAAGGATTATGCAGAAATCGAGATTGAGATAAGCAGACATTTCAACGAATTGTTCAAAGCGTCAATTGATCAAAAGAATATGTTGACTGTTGATGGCTAAAGAGCGAAAAATAAAAGAATATTCTTTTATTTTTCAACTCTCCCAAATTCTTTAATATTTGTCTGTGCTCTTGTTTTGAACAATGGAACCGAGACTTATGGAGCTTGTGAGACTTATGGAGCTTGTAAGATGTGTGATGTGAGAGCTTGTGAGTTTATGGCAACGATCAGAAATGGAACAAAGTGGATCAGAAGCCAAGATTTGTTCTTTCTTGAATTGTTTCATTTGTTGAATATTACCGTTATTGTACAAAAGATAAAGTAACTTACAGAAAGTTTCGTTTTGAATTAAAATACGAGACAATTCTTGGCCAGATCAGCACGGGACTCATTGTTAGAGCTGATGATTATACACAAAATACATAAACATTCTTCTCAGCACCATAGTATGTTAAGTAACATGTTTTATTAAAGACCAGCCGAAAAACCCGTCTAACGGCGGGTTTTTCTGGCTGGGTTTTTTGGGGCTAACGCATAGTTTGATCTCTCAAGTTAAAGGGCGGGCCCCTCCGAGTCTCCTGTAACAATACTGGGATCTATATCTTAATCCTTCAAAGCAATATCGGAACCAACCCTGATACCCTTCGCACCACCGACATCTATACTGGGACGCTTGACGTGACTAAAATCGCGCCTCGCCCCCCTCCGAGACTCCTATAACAATATCTTCACCACGAAGCAACTCAAATTTGCATACTTTAACTCCATGTTTCAAAACATTTCAAGCAAAAAAGTTTGGAACGGATGGGAATCGAACCCGACACCCCCTTAGAGCAGTCATTTTGTAGACGGGACGCTAACCACCTCGACCACACCCCTCCCGAGGGCCGCCGAAGGCAAAAAGGGGGCGTGGCTAAGTGGTTTTTCTGATTTTTTACGTGTTTTGGATCTAAAACTTGTTTTTACCAAAAAGGATATACCTATTCATTTTTAATTCCCTATCGATTAAAAAAAAAGTTTGTCGAAATCGCTTTAAGTGGAGCCGAGATCCAGAGTGTGACGGACGGACAGACAGACAGACGGACACTTTTCTTTTATATAGTAGATTCTTAAAAGAAGTGCCCATTTCAACAAGGAATAGATTTCTTCTAATTCTCTAGAAAGAAGAAGAATATACAGATGGAAAATAGAGATTAAAAGGTTAGTGCGTGGCTTTACACATGACGCTGATGGGTGTAAGAAAACATAGTAGCAAATTGTACTGTTTACACTAGCATATTTCATAAGTAAATAGTAATTAAAGTACGAAACTGTAGAAAAAAGGACTTCTGACTTGGTCTGACGTAGCGGGACAGAACTGGGAGTTTTGGAAACTTTTTTTTGCACAACTTTGAATACCCTTTATTTTATTAGCAAAGATTCCAAAAGTTTCTGTATACATCCAGATCGATCTTCCAATTTCCCAGTTTCTTTGTGGCGCTTGATTGCTTTTGAAACTGTCTGGTGAGGCAGGTGCAAAAACCGTGAAATCTCCATTACCGATTTGCCACCGTGCAAGAGTCGAACCATGGCTGGTCGCTAATCCAATTGTGATTTCATCCTGAAAAAAGCCAATACAAAAGAATTTTAGTCATAAGTAAGAAAAAGAATCTGTTAAACAATAAATCTGTTAAAACAAGATCCGCTTCATAATTTTGGGAAACCCTGTAGATAATGAACACACAAGTAATTGATCCTTCAACGGAAAGAGAGGTTATAGTGAAGGAGCTTTCATCTACTGTTGTTGAAATGGTTGATGCTGTGCTGTAGTTGAGTTAAAAAAATAATTCTGGAGTCCGTAAAGGCCTAAATTTTGTCATCAGCTCAAATCTCGATTTCTACCAAAAGTTACAAACTATTGGGTGACCTGATGAGCTGAAGATAGCACAAGTTAGCACTCTGTTTTGACATAACTCTGCTTACTGCAAAAAAGTGTGTCACGAATTCAAATATTTGATGTTTACTTGTCTCTTACCCAACTGGTTGTTGTGTTGCTGAGTTGAGCGGCTCGAACTCGTTCTTCATTGTTCGATCTTCTTCTAATCCCACCCAAAGCCAAGTCTTTTCAAAAACAAACAAGACATTAAAATTTGTTTTGTTTTGTGAAATCAAATAAACAGTTTCCTCTGGGAATTGAGAAAAATGACTAGCAGGATTGCATTTGGCTAGCTTCTTTGACTAATCATGAGTGCTGTATAGTGGACATGGTTATCGGATCGGATCGTACCAGATCCGATCCAATTCGATAGGTCCGACCGATCAGGCTAGCTCAATCCGATCCGAGCCGTTCAACCGATCCGGCTAGCCCGATCCGATCAGATCCTATAGATCCGACCGATCAGGCTAGCCCAATCCTCTCCGAACCGATCCGATAGATCCGACGGATCGGGCTAGCCCAATCCGCTCCGATCCGATCCGATAGATCCGACCGATCGGGCTAGCCCAATCAGCTCCGATTTGATCCGAGCCGTTCAACCGATCGGGCTAGCCCGATCTGATCCGTCCGTCCAAAAAGTTTGTATATGGTTGATGACGATTGATATTTCATTTCTTGAAAACCGTACTATTCTTGATTCAAATTTACACCTGCACTAACCGTTTTGGTGGTAACGAAAGCTGAAGACTAGTAGTTTTATAATGAAATAGAGAAACATCTGCTTTAACAATCGGCTCTTTTCTCAAAGTTGACAGTAAAACAAGCATTCATTTTCATGAACACTCATTTTATCGATTCAACTAAAAGCTTGCAATGAATCCATCAACCGATCCCGATCGTACCCTCATTGAATGGGCTTATTTCGTTCCATTTTGTTTCGATCTTATCATTTGTTCATTCACTCTTGGTATCTTCATTCTTGTTAAAGCACCGAAATATCTGAAAGAATTCAGAAGACTTCAAATTGGAATCTTTGTAAGTTAGAGTTTAGTAAAAGCTGACAGAATTTTGAATTGCTGGGGAAATCAGCATCAAGACTGAATAGCTTCTAAGCTTTCACTTGAACCGTAGCTACTCAGGCTATAAGACTTTTCACTTAAGAGTATAGATTCTTTTGAACTAGACTCCTTGAATCTGAATTAAAATCAAAGTTCAGATATGCTCAGCAGTGTTGGCATCTCTTCTTACTTTTTCTGCTCCATCTATCGTGTATCCATCTACGATAATTTTTAGCTCACGTTTAAACAGATTCAACCGAAAAGGGCTGATATTAGGGCTTGTAAGGTTTTTATAGGATTTGAAAGTTGGCACGCCTTCTGTAGTAGAAAAAAACATAATGCAGGCAGGAGTTGACAATCCCACTTTGAGCTCAAATATCTTGGTGTTGGGATGTCCAATTTATATGGTTTTTGTATCAATCGATAGAGAAAGACTTGGCGCATCCAATCATATTAAGAATATTTAAATTGGCCAACACCAGGAAATTTGAGCTCAAATTTAGATTACAAAAGAGAAAAGGGGGGGGGGGGGCGTATGTCCCACCTGATTTGGGAAGATTTTATAGTGTTATTCGAAGCTGGACCAAACCTGGCAAGCGTCAGGATCAATTTGTTCAAGAGATTGCGTCAGCCGCTTGAACCACAATCAGAGCTTGCTCAAGCCTATTGTTAATCTTAAATCACTGACTGAATAGGTTAAAAGTGACTAAATTAAAGCTCTTGGCGATCTGAGCCGGCTCTGAGACTTTTACCAAAACACTGACTTAGTTTATGGGGTCTGCCACTGATTTCCATTTAAATATTCATGCACATTCACTGCCAGAGCATGCCATTATTTTAGGGCTTGTACTATGCTCTCTTTTTGCTCGACCTCGTCTTGCATGCACTCGTCTTCATGGCTCGTGTTAGCGCCATATCACCTCCATTGAAGAAAAGACTCATTCAGAAAATGAACTACGTAAAGCAAAATCTCTAATTTAGCACTCCAAAACAATTCCAGCTTTTCCTGACAACAATTTATGTCTCAGTATGTGCTTTAATGTGTTACGGTACATATATCTTCCTAAACTTTCCTCAAACGGACCAGATTTTGACAGTACTTCTAGAAAAGTACAATGTTTGATCAAAAAAATTTAGTCACATCCTTCAATCAATCTTTCGATGCTTTGGACAGGCCACTCTGGCACAATTATTTTTACAGGCTTCGGTTTTGTTATTTGTTTGTCGGGATGGTTTGTGATTTTCTTCTAAAAATGAAAGGAAGATTTTAGTTTCATGACCTCAAACATTATTCTAGTCTTTAAATACTCCCGTTTCACGATTCATTTGAGTCAAAACACAAGACTAATGCACGAGCAATTGACGCGGGTCTCTTTCCTTCAGGTGCACAGTTCTACTCACAATATTAGTGTTACAAGCATCTCTTTTAGTTCACTTTTCTCTTCTTCACTTGCCAATTACCATTTATTCTTGCTGTTGTAATCTCTGCGTCTTTCGGCGATAATTTTGGTGGGTTAGTTGGCGATACTCAAGTCTGAATGCCAACATTTTATGGCAAATGTTTTCATTTTTCGTTCTAGGTTGGCTTGCTACAAGTCTCGGGGTGTTGACCAACTTTCATTATTCTGGAAATTGTCTCCTTGTTCTTGCTTTCACAAAGTTTTATCGTGAATGGTTGAAAAACTTCTTTAGAGTAAGTTTCAAGAGAAATATAATAAGAATGAGGAAGACTTAGATGTTAGGCTAACAAAAGAGGTTCGTCAACTTCCTACCAGGTTTTAAAATGTGACCTAGCACATTTAGATTAGTTTTTTAAAGCGAGGAAAAATGGGTTTAAAGTTGGATAAAATATGGTATTTGCGCAAATAAGACACCGCCTTTTAGAAGGAAATTTAAGGCAATGGTGTAGTGCTAGGGCGTTACGCTTACATTTTTGCATCCCTGGTTCGGATACGGGTGCTTTTCTTTTTGGTTTTTTTAAAACAGTTTCTAACACTTTTTTGTTTTACCATTTTCAATATTTACAGGGTGTCCGATAAAAAAAGAGTTGTTTTGCCTCGAATTTTACTCAAAATCTGTAGTGGCTCTTGCTGGTGACTCTGGTTTCAAGAGTGTTTTTTCTGTGAGGAATAGAAATGACTTTTTTTTGAAATTTTTTAGTGTGATGACCCCTCTATACACGAGAATTTTTCACCGCCACGATCACCAGCACCATGAGATTTTTACCATAAAATTAAAACTTTCTACTGCCATTGTGGCGTCATCTTAGAGTTAATATATAAAGTAAGATTTTGTAAACTAAGAAAAACTCTATTCATCTAAATTATATGATATTCTGTCATAGGTAAGAGATTTTCAAATTAAAGAAGATTTTAAAGCAGTACCCCGTTCTTCCAAGGAAGCGCTGATCAACAAAGTGTATGGTTTAAATTTGTAGCTATCCTAATAGTGTTTATTATGCACCACGATGACAGGAGAAAAGTTTAATTTTATGGCAAAAATCTCATGCTGGTGGTGACTAGACATGTGCACTCGGTCCCGTCCTTGGTCCGGTTCTTGGTCCGGTCCTTGACCTGGTCCTTGGCCCGGTCCTTGGTCTGGTCCTTGGTCCGGTCCTTGACCCGGTCCTTGGTCCGATTCTTGTTCCGGTCCTTGGCCTGGTCCTTGGCCCGGTCCTTGGCCCGGTCCTTGGCCCGGTCCTTGGCCCGGTCCTTGGTCTGGTCCTTGGTCTGGTTCTTAACCCAATCCTTGAACCGGTCCTTGGTTCGATCCTTGTTCCGGTCCTTGGCCTGGTCCTTGGCCCGGTCCTTGGTCTGGTTCTTGGCCCGGTCCTTGGTCTGGTTCTTGGCCCGGTCCTTGGTCCGATTCTTGGTCCGGTCCTTGGCCTGGTCCTTGGTCCGGTTTCGGTCTTGGTCCAGTCTCGTTCCGGTTCGGACCGAGATCGGACCGAAAACTCGGTGCTTCGGTCCGGACCGGACCAAAATCGGACCGACTGATACGGTTCGAGTGCACATGTCTAGTGGTGACTAAGGTGGTATGGGGAATCTTTTGTATAGGGGTCATGAAATAGAAAAATTTCGAAAAAGTCATTTCTTTTCCTCACAGAAAAAACACTTTTGGCACCAGAGTGGCCACCAAGAGCCACTACTAGTAGCAAAAAACTAATATATTATCAATAAAAAATTCAAAACACCTGTCGCGCGCCTGAGTCGAACCCTCGACCCTCAGATCACCGCTTTCAGAGCTCTTTCAGCTTTCTTTTTTAGCGGCGATCTGAGGGTCGAGGGTTCGACTCCGACCCGCGGCAGGTATTTTGAAAAAATGTTGCTAAAAGACCGAGTTTTGCGTTTTCTAGGGTAATTTTCAACGCTGATTCCGAGTCTAAGCCTCGGTTTCCATACAAAAAAAACGAAAAAACACATTTTTTTTTGATTGAAAATGCTACTAGTTTTTCCTGCGTGGCCGAATTTTTTATGTTTTTAGTACCAAAATGCTCGTAGAGTATAGGTGCATACAAGTGAGTTGAAGGATTTTTGCGTTTGCCCACCATCTGCGAGAATTGGCCTTAAAAACCAGGTGAGTCCGGTCCTCTCTGTGTAAAATGACCGATTTTTTTTGATAAAATGCGACTTTTAAAAAAATGTATTCGACGGATTTTGATAATTTTTTTCACTATTGAATTTAGGATATTTTTCTGCGTCAAATGGCTATTCAAACATTCAAAACGGATAGAAAGCACGATTTTGCGCGAGCTGCGGTGTCTTATTTGCGCAAATACCATTTTTCCTAGCCACAGAGGGCGTCTGGAGTAGATTCGAGTACAGATTCGGAATCAGCGCGAAAAACTGATCTAGATGTGCTAGGTCACGTTTTAAAAGCTGGTGGTAAGTTGACGAATCTCCCTTGTCAGCTCATTTTCAATGTTGGCTAATCAGAAAAAAAAACTTTGTGTTTAGAGTTCGAGAGTCAACACGAGAATAAAAATCGAAAGTTCAATCATGGTTCGTCGAACTCCTTTGCATACTTCCACCTCAAAGCCAAGACGAATCGATCGAAATAGTCAAAATAAGTCGTGATTTTAAAAAATCTAACTCTTCAAAAACCACAACAAAGCTTTCTTTTTGCTTTTTGTTTACAAACCGAACCCGATGGTCAGCTGTGTATCGATTTGGTATTTTCTCTCTTATCAATTCGCTTGGCGCTTTGACCCCGAGAAATGCTTGTTTTCTACAGGGTGTTTTGCAAATTGCTTTGCTCTATATTTCTATTCAGCTAGCCAATTCCAGCAAAAAGTTCTAAAGCTTTGCATTTGGATGGAGACAAGGGTAATTTTTGGGTCTAACCAATCTCCAGAAAGCCGTTAAAAGAGGAGATTTAGTTTTTGTTATTCTAGAACTTGCGCCGAAGAAGACAAGAATATGGACTACTGGAAGCTAACCAAGACGGTGACGTTTGATAGTGTGAAAGGATTACAGTAGAAGACAGGCCTGTAAGCAGAAATAAATTTGAGGAGCAATGCTAGTTCAAAGTCCGAATTGATTAGGTTTTCACTGCTTGGTAGAAGGCACTGTTGAAATTTCGATTCTGAAACATTACCGACATTTATCAAACTCTATTTTCAAGCGGAACTAGAACTTTGACAAACCAATTTCTTTGATTAATAATGTTCAACTTTTATAGTTGAACCATCAAAGCATAAGCCACCGCCTTCAATGCCGATTCTTCCAACGATCATTTTTCTCATGTCAATGTTCATTTTTATAATCGTGGTACTGGGCTATGCAACAACAGAAAAAACAGGTAAATACTTAGCAACTCAATATTCAAAATTTGAATCTAGCTATCAACGATTTGATCTCGAGGAGACTAATGGAGAACATCGATGTCGATAATATAAAGGTTCTTATTGTTCCATTGTCAAAGCTCATTTTAGTTTAATTATTTTTCAGTTAAATTTTATCGTAATAATTTTAATCTAGAACTACTTGAGAGAGTTAACGAAAGAACCGCATGTGGCCGGAACTGATGAAAATCGGCGAGTCGCAGAAGCTATCGCCCGAATCTGGACAGAGAATGGACTTGAAGGTAGCAAATAGAAAATGATGTTAATAACAAACCAAGAATTTCAAAATACCGTATTCTCTCTAATAGTAGTGCACTCTTTAATAGTAGTGCACTCTCTAATAGTGTTGCGGTCCAGGAGGGGCTTGAAAAAATAGTAGTGCGCACTAATATTAGAGAGAGAGAATACAGTAAATATACTAATTTGAATTGAAAGTTGAAAAAGACCTCGATGTCGATTCTCAAATGATTTCTCCAGGTAGTCCAAGGCAGGCAGATGCAAGCCTGGCTCGGGCTTTGCCTGGTTTGGTTTAACTTTACTGCAAGCCTAGTCTTACTTTACAAGTACCTGAGGACTCAGAATCCAGCCTTAAACTGCGTCTTGAACTTGACTAGTCTGCCTATCTACAGCTCACTAATTATTGGGTTTGGGCGAATAAAATGGCGCCGAAAATCAATGAAAATTTTTTTCGTCAAATTTCTTTGTCAAATGATACGCGTTTGATATCAATAGAAAGGTTAACTAATTCTTTAAAAAATGGCATTTAAAAGAGAACTCAAACAGCTCAACAAAAATGCTGTTTTATCACGAAATCTATAAACTGTGACCTAGCGAAAACGGTTGAAGGGATCTTCCTGTAAATTTGGCAACTTATGTAATTGAGTGTGCTCTATCTTTTTTATGTAGACACCAAAGGAGGTTTATGTGGAAAAAACTGTTCAAACGATGAGTCGGACTCTTTGCCATTTTGACTAGCTGTGTTTTGGGAGTCAACAAACTCTACAAAAGAAAAGCTTTGTGGAATCTCTCGACAGTCATTTTGTAGAGAAATAGTGGACCTTTTGATGAAAAAGATGTGTGTTTAAAGAAAGCTTTATGTCTGCAAAAAGTGTTTTTAAAGTTTGGCGCCATTTCATTCTCCTCAACCCAATAGGCTCTTACCAGGGATCTGATGGAATTCTTGATTGAACAATCATTACGATTCTAGGTGTTCACTTCAACAGCTACAATGTGTTGTTGAACTATCCCGTTTGGGAAAAACCAAATACGGTTTTTTTTCTTCCAATTTTTCTGAATATGAAATATTTTAGCTGAAAATTCACAAAGGATTTGAAACTTTTTATCAAACAAATGGGACCGAGCCGATGATTTTACCGGATGAGCAAGGAGATCCGTGTGAGTTTCAAATAACCATTGAGCTTATCTTTTATGCATAATTTATCAGTTTTTTTAGATCTTAATATCAAATTTTACTTCTAGTTGCCGGTATTCAATGGTTAGCTTGGTCTCCTCCAGGGCAAGTCACTGGTGACATTGTTTTCTGCAATGAGGCTCGTGATTCCGATTTTCAAACGCTAAAGGAATTGGAAATCAATGTTACCGTAAGATTTTGTAAATTTATTGTCAGAATTATAACTTCTTACAGGGTAAAATAGCATTGATCCGCTATGGAACTGGTTTTCGAGGAGATAAAGTGAAGAGAGCGCAGCATGAGGGAGCAACAGCCGTCTTACTGTACTCGGATCCGGCTGAAGTGGCTGCAGAGGGAATTGATGAAGGTAAAGTTTTCAAAAACATCAAAATAATATAACCCATGACGAGCGATTAAAATTCAATCATTAAAAAATCAATTAAAAGTCAATCAATCATCATTTTGCTGTGATGGATTCAATCGAGTCTGGGAACCAGGCCTTTAAGGCTGTAAGCCTGGAAGCCAGGCCTGTAAGGCTGTAAGCCTGGAAACCAGGCCTGTAAGGCTGTAAGCCTGTAAGCCAGATCAGTAAGCTTTTGAAGATCACGAGCATTGTTTTAGAAAATAATGTCACCAGTGACTTGCTCTGTAAGAGATAAGGCTAAGCTAGATCAGAAGTCAGTTGTAGTGATTATTGGTGGTTCAGATATGATCTTTATTACAGCAATAATAGTTGGTTCAGTGGTTTGGGATTGGGAGAGTAGAGACGACTCCACGGCACACCTCGGCAGCTCGTTCACATTTCTTTTATACAAAACTTTGGCGTTGGTCTCGTCTTACACACAATGGAGTTGAACGGATAGCGACGCATATTAAATCTCGCACAATAGGCGTTCGTCCACATAGATATCTATCTGGCCATTTCCATACGTGGCGATCTCAATCACGAGATCGTCACGACAAGTACTGTATGTAGTCTGGAAACGAAAGTTCGTACGGGAAGTTCATGCTTTTCCCCAGTTATTGCTGAGCCATAAGTACATAAAACCAAAAAGATGTAAGTAAGATGTAAGTAAGACTTTAGTAAGACTTTAGTAAGTTGTCTGTAGTCCGGAATGAAGTCCCAGCCAGTTTAAGCACTGGGCTTGATCAAAGTTAATACACGAGTTTACACATGATCTATTGGGTTGGTGAATTGAAAACTGCCGGCTATTGTGATATGTCACAATTTGAGCACTTTCTTCAAAAGAAACCCATTTTGGTGTCAATGGAAAAGTTGTAGAGAATCAAAAATTAAGCTTATATCCAAATTTTCAGAACGATCAAAAACTGGTCTTCAAGAAATGCCAAATTTACGAATTTTCACAAAACTTGCATTTTAAGCGAAACTACTAAGTGTATCTTTTTGGAAATTTGGCTATAAGCCTAATTTTTGATTCTCTACAACTTTTCTATTGACACCAAAATGGGTTTCTTTTGAAGAAAGTGCGCAAACTGGGACATCTCCAGTCCTCCATTTTTGAGTCTCACACTTGTCTCACACACAAACCAAAGTCCTACCACGAAAGAGGAATCCGCAAATTGCCTGTAAAATGGGCAGAAGTCGTCAATAATAATGTAAATTATTTCGAATGAATTGATGGTTTTATGTTGAATAAATTTTAGTTCAAAGTTTCGCAGTTTTCAATTCACCAACCCAATATCTATTGATGTTATGGTTATGAAATCTTAAACATATACAGAAAATGACGTGAATTTTCATTTTAAAAAAAGAAATTAAACGTTTTGGTCTACAAATAACAAATATAACAAAAGAAATATGAGCTTAGAACGGAGTATTAGGATGGGTGATTTCTGGTCACCCTGTAGAGGTCAAAGTGATGCAGATCTTGAAGAAAGGCTTCAGACAAAGTCTACCCTCACACAGCATGGATGCCGCATGAAGGAGTGCAACGAGGATCGATCATTCATGGAATGTTTGGAGATCCGTTGACACCAGTTTTACCGAGCAAACCGGGAATCTATAGGAGTCGTGACATTGAACAGGTTTGCTTCAATTTGAAACTTTTGGGTACTTGATAAAGACTGCGTCCAGGCTAAACTTGACGGGATTTTGCCCTCGATCCCAGCACTCCCAATCAGCTACACTACAGCTTTTGAGATCATGAAACGAATGAATGGACCATTAGCACCTAAAGATTGGCAGGTACAAGTTTTTATGAAAAGTAAAGCTTATCAAAATTCAGGGTGGATTGAAATTGGATTACCGATTGGGTCCCGGTTTGGACAATGACGCAAAAGTTACGCTTGAGGTTCACTCTATTTATGAAACGAAGTAAGTACGCAATTTGTCATAATTCCCAGGTTATAACAACTTGCAGTAAATTGAAAATTTTGGCTTACAAACCCCATCTCTGAATCAACTCCAATAATTTGTTCTTCTGTAGAACGATCAACAATGTGCTTGGCTACATCAAAGGAGCAGAAGAGCCGGATCGCTTTGTGATATTGGGGAATCATTACGATGCTTGGGTTAGTGAAAGTAATGAAAATATTTAAAAAACAACTAGTTTTTGGATTCAGAAGTAAATTTGAAACTTAAGGTGAATCTTTACGGTTAACCGAGTAGCGATTATTGGCGGGCGTCAATTTTTTGGCTAACTTGCAGCTCATTTTTAAGCGCCTTAAACTTGTCAGATCGGGAAGTTTTAAAACGATTTAGCTAGCTTAGAACGTCAGCTTTCAGAAGCTATTTGTTTTAATAAAGCTTATTAACATAGACTCATATAAAATCGGGCTGCAAGTTGGTCAAAAACTTCCCGTCGTTAAAGGTCTCTTAAGGTCTACGGCTCGTTGGATCCAAATAGTGGCACGGCAATCCTCGCAGAAATCGCGAACTCTTTCACGAAAACAATAAAAGAGACTAGCTGGAGGCCAGGTTAACAAATTTTATCTATAAATTTATAAAAAAGTCATATGAAAAGCAGAATATTTTTGAAAAACTTCAACTGTTTCAGCCAGAACGATTTTCTTCGCTGCTTGGGACGCCGAGGAGTACAGTTTGATCGGATCAACGGAATTTGTTGAGGAATATTTGCAAATGGTTCAATTTTTGTGAAAAAGATATAAAATATTTGAATATTGAAGAAAATATTGAATTCTCCAATTTGGAACCGTTTCCAAACTCAATTTTCAGCTACAACAACGAGCCGTCACCTACATCAACATGGACTGTATTCATGATAATAAAACTTTGTAGGTCTAATTTTAATTTGAAACTTTGAATTTGAAACTTTCAAATGTCAAAATGTTTTAGATTCTTAATTTATAACTTCCTGACTTATTTTAGAACTTTGGCCACAACTCCTTCTCTTCATGATGTTGTGATACAAGCAGCTAAACGGATACCTAATCCGAGCAAAGAAGAACAACAGCAGGGTCGACCAACTCTTTATGATACTTGGTTTGAAATTTTATAATTTTGAAACTAGTCTAAAGTTAACTAGGTATCATTATTATCCGGATGAAAAGTATAAACACCGACCGTGGATGAAAATCCCATCCGGCAACTCGGACCAAGCTCCGTTCCAAAACTTTGCCGGCATCCCTGTGATTGATTTTGCTTTCAAGGTGGGTTTGGAATTGTGCATGAAGTTGATTGGTCAAATTTTAGAACAATAGCCCAATCGACTATCCTCTTTATCATTCCATGTACGAGACACCGTTTCTCAATGAGCATTTGGTCGATTGGGACAACTTTGCGGTGAGTCTGACAAAATGAAACTTTTTCATGATCAAACCAATTCTCTAGGTCAAGCCCAGTCAATTCAAGGCCATTGGCGGCTTTGATTTCGCTTGACTTTGCTTAAATTGATTTGGCGCTTTTCCGCCCAATCCTGATTATAGGCTGAATTCAGATTCACCTTGCTACCGGGAAATTGTGGATTGAATTGGCACGGAGCTTCAGCGAGTCTGGTACTTTTTTGAAAACTCTTTGAGATACAATTTACAACTTATAACCTTCTATTTGAAGTATTCTGGTTAATATTCCTTTTCAGAAATCCTCCCCATTAATCATCTGGCACTAGCTGAGGCAATCATTGATGACTACATTCCACCAGTTCAACAAGCTGTCAACTCAATAAAACCCTTTGATCAATCAGCGGAAGTCAAGGTTGTTAAAGAGTTAATAACCCAAAACAATAAGTTTAGGCAGCCATTGTACAACTTAGCGATCAAGTTCATCACGTACAACAAATGTCTTTGGTTTGTTACTTCAAGACTCAACAAAAGATTTGACATTTCAGACCTTCAAAGAAACCATTTTGGAATTTACGGCCAAATTTTCGAAGGCAAAGAATAGATTTGAGAGGCGATCGATCAACGACCGAATTATGGCGTGAGTTGTTGAAAAATTGAGTTGAAATTAGGTTAAGTACGAAGTCTTTCACCCAAATACATTTTCTAATTGAATTTAGATAATGAAATGAAGGGGTAAAAACCTACAAAGAAAGGTCAACTGGGTGTGGTGGCCAAATGATATGAGCCATAGATCTTTCGACGCAGAATTTCACATTGAATCCGATGCTGTATTTCGTTTTTGCAAAATGACATTCGGCCAAATTGGTGTTTAAAGTTTTGTACGAACCTTTGACAGAATAATGCGTTGCAAAAACAGAAAGCAGATTCGGAATCAGCGCAAAATTTTACGTTGGTTAGTTTATGGCTCATGTCATTTGGCCACCACACCCAGTTGACCTTCCCTTGTTAGGTTTCTATATAAGGCTTGACATTATTTTGAAGTTTTTAAGATCGTTAACGGAATAACTGATTTATTCTTAGCAAATCATAAGGCTTTCTCTGACTTCAAGCCTTTAGAGTTGATCGGTGTTTCATCAATCCGGTGGGCATGCTCGGTGCACCACAGGTAGGGCCTTGAAAACTTTTGAAATCGTTTACCATAGTAAAACTGTTATAAGAGCCTATTGTGCTTTCTTGTGTTTTCTAAAACGTTTCAACTTTCGAACATTACCGTAATCTGCTTCTAGTTTTTGTTTCCCTTCAGAGTCGCCACGTTTTGTTCTCGGTGAGTGACAAAGATAGCTACAGTAGTCGAGTGATGGCTGCAGTATTCGATACGGTAATTCGTTTACAGTTCAAAATGTTCAGCTTTTCAGTTGAACGTTCTAAACGCGTCAAAAAGTGTGGAAACTTTTTTGGAGGACGCAAAAATATCGGCTCGACAAATCTCAATTGTTCACTATTCGATTCTTTGTGCTACAAATGCTGTGAAAGAGTTTTTCTGACAGTTACAGGCAAATAAAAGCTTTCAAATGACAAAATAAATAAAAAGCATTGAAGGTGAATTGCTTGGGAGAAACTTAATTTACTAAATTACTTTCGCTGATTTCTAAATTTGTTATGCTGAAGATCGATTCACCGGAACTCGATCACTAAATTGCACAAGAAGGGACCAATCTTTTATTTTTGTTTAACAATGAGAAAGACTCAACTATTGAATGGTTTTCGAATCAACGGAACCTTAGAAATGTTGGAATCACATTTCGGTTTTGATTCTTTCAAGAAAGTTTAACAAAAGCTTGTGAAAAATTCGACATAGCCTACTTTCGTTAAAAGTTTTCCACAAAGGGCAATTATTTTGAAATAACTTAAACTGGTTAAAGTTGATGTGTTGAATAAATTAGCTTTCTCTATGAGAATTAAAATTTTTGAGATTCTTTTCCTCATAAATATTGACTTCCCAGTTAGAAGTCAGAGATTACATAATTGACGATTGACTAGACCTAGACCAAAGTTTTTCAGCTAGATAAGCAGCTTGTTTGCACTTATCAAAACACGATCTTTGATTCTTCTGCTTTTTTTTTCATTAAACAAACATCATTTTACACCTCCTGCTTTGAAAAGTTTTCCGATTTGATCAATCGTTTTTCTTGATCGTTCCGGAAAAACAAATCTATTCCATATTACCCCAATAAAGATGACCTTTCTCTTCTCGAAACATTATACACAATTCCACAATTCCTTTCTGTTTCATCACTATTACCTTTGTGACGGCTCCACCGGATCTCAAAACTTCAAGAGGATTCAGAGTGCAATTGTTAAAAGTTTAGCCGGAAAACCAATTGCTAGAACTGGCAGTGTTGTGAATACAGTTGTTTTAAATCATTTCCCACAGATTATTTATTTGTTAACTTAGGTGTTTTCTAAAGGGTGGACCTTTTACCGTACCCCTATTTGTTCGCCATTTCAGAACATTGTTTCTCTTGGTTAAATTCATTGTCGGACTTTTGTTTTGAAAAGGATTACCCAATATTTCGTCTGTTTCTTTCGTCTGTTTCTTTCGTCTGTTTCTTTCGTCTGTAAACGAGACGTCATATACCGTATTCTCTCTAATAGTAGTGCGCACTACTATTTTTTCAACCCTCTCCTGTCGGTCTGAGTCTGAAGTTGATTATCTTTTGCTAGACATGGACAGTAGCAAATTAGAACTTTAAGTTTTATCTTAAAGTTGTTTTTGTAAAATTTTGTTGTTTACTGTTAATTTTTACTTGCTAGTTTGTTGTTGTTTGGTTAACGTGGCATTTCCTTTTTGAATTTATAAACAGTTGAATCAATTAAAGACTAATAAATTTGAGTTCTGAGCAAGAAACTAGAGTTTTGTAGCAGCTCTAAGATAACAAATTTTCGCTCAGTCCGACCAATCGGGCTAGCCCGATCTGTTCCGTTCCGATCCGTTCAACCGATAGAGTTAGCCCGATCCGATTCGATCTTATTTTGCCAAAAAAAACCATGTCTAGTGTACACTATCTGATAATTCAGAAAAGAGATATAAGGTATTTATTTTTAAGAAGTCTTATTAATTTGAGCTGCTGACTTCCATCATCGATCTATGGATAGCATTGATTGTCGTTATTGTAGTAGTAACAGTTGGGGGCTGCTGGATCGTTGCATCCGTTGATGTTAGCTGAAAATGATGGTCACATTAAATTAAATCACACCCAGCATTCTTTATACAAGTATACTTAACAATACTAGTATCTTTGCTGATAAATTAGCTTACGTCCATAAGCGGTGTATGGGTATCCAGCGGGAACGGGGGGACAATCGGAGAAGCATTGATCCGAATAGGTTGGTCCGAAGGCATCGGGCGCATAGTAACAAGTGAAGCCAGAGCCACAGCCACCGATTGATGCTGAAATGGTTAGAAATGAACATTTGAAAGATTCAAAGCAACTCTCGTTTGAAGTTATTTAGTAACCAAGTTTCATATGACTCACGTCCTCCGGCTCCCCAAGTGACAGTGGATGGCAATGGTTGACAGGTGGCTCTCCAGCAAGCATCTCCAGTACCATCATCATAGCAAGTGGTCGATGGATCCGGACAGGTACCAAAGATATAAGCTGAAAAAAATTCGATGGGAACCAATGGTTTTCAAGCAAGTGGAGGATGGCTCGACAGATTTAAAACTCGTTATGGGATTGTGTCGAACACTACAAGGAGAAACCGCCGAAATCGACTTAGGAAGACAATTAACTCCCTCTGGAGTAAAAGAGATCAAGTGCCTTGTGGTGTAATGGTTGGCACAGTTGTTCGACAAGCGAAAGATCGCAGGTTCGAGTTTTGATCGGGCCTAGTTCTGACTAGACGAAGCTGAACTATCTCTCATCAACAGGCCTATCGATACTTTCAGATGTGTTTGACGGTTAGTTAGTTTTCCAGACTGTTTGGAAAATATGCAAAAAGTGATGGGATTAAAGATGTTTTCAAAAATGCAATCGAAAATTTCTACTACGATCCTGCCTTAAATGGCAAGAAATAATTACAGTTAATTAATTTTTTTTGTTAAACTCAAACTTTTTGTTATTTAGAAATAACTATTTGCTAATAATATTGTTGGTAAATTCTCATGCTTATGTTCACGACTTGTTCGCTATTCATAAATACATTTGAAGACTTCAGAAACTGGTTGAAAAACCTTGGTTTAAAATTTCTATATAATGAACTTCGATACAACAACCATCAATTTAATGAACATTTTGGCCTGTCCTTTGGGGTTCGTTATATCGAATTCCGACTGGACTTGACTGTACAGAGACAAAACTTACGTCCAGCATTGACCCAATAACCAGAGGATGGCACGGGAGAACATGTTTGGGCTGTTGTCTGGAAAGAAGATAATGAAGAGCCTGTTTAGATATTAGGATCCTAGCATTGTTTTGTTAAAATATAACTGTAGTACTTGCAAATTGTTGTATTGGTTTATAAGAACTCGTATACAACAGTACTATCTAGCAGGCTTTAACAATAGTGTTACCTGTTCAAAGACGGAGAATGCCACAAGAAGAAGACCGGCCAGTTTTTGCATGTTTGAAGAGATGATGGTGGATTGAAGGTTGATGAGATTTCCATTCATACACCTATCTATTTATACGATCCATTTGAACCCCACAGATCAACCTGGAGAGTACCAAAGCACAAGTACAGCCCTTTTTTCCCTTTCATTTCATTCAATAGAACGTCGAGACGAGTCGAAATTTATGGAAATCCAGACAAATTTTTTTAAAATTGGATTAAAGGGGTCCACATTTGGTCAAAAAAAAGTCAAAATTGAAAAGAATGAAACACGTCGACCTGAAAGAGTGAAAGACAACAATGGACTCTTTGAAATTTATTCAAAGTTACAATCCGATTGAATTTTTCATTGACGAATGGAAAAAGGCACAATCAAAGGTCAAACCACGGGATTATCTGGCACAATTTCTTACTTTCTCATAATTTTAGTTATCTTCCCTAACTTCGGGCAAACATTCTGGGCACTTCCGGTTATTGAACCAGGAAACCATAAGTGGAACCAGAAATCGAATCAAATGACTGGGTCTTTGGTAATGATCTGAAGTAAACGAGAACATTTTCATTTTGAAAGAAAGCTAAACGACTAAAAAAGTTTTGAAGAAAGTGAAAAATTTCAGTTCGGGAATAGTGATGACAATCAAATTATTTGTTGAAAACCAAATTCATTAAAATTTCCAAAGAAGCAAAAACATTTCAGCCCGATGCGGGGCTCGAACCCGCGACAGCCAGATTAAGAGTCTGGTGCTCTACCGACTGAGCTAACCGGGCTCCTGTCTCACGTCACCGGATCTTGACCCAAATTCCTATCAGTCCGCAGTGACACTTTGACTATTCTTACGACTATTATTTACTTTTGTTTTTGATTCAAAGTTCTACCTGATCAACAATATATGTGCAAATAGTACATTGATCAAAAGGGGTGCAAGTGGTTGGAGTAGTGGTTGGAGTAGTGGTTGATGTGGTGGTTGATGTAGTCGTTGTTCTAGAGGTAGTAGTGGTGGTTGTCGTGGTAGTCATCTTGGTGGCTCCACCAGCGCACTTCCCCCTATCAAAGCAGATTTGATGGACGGAAATTAAGTTGGGTACTAATTCTTGATAATACCTCTTTTGTTTCATCAATTTTCATCATAGCTTCTTATAAATTTTCAATATGATAATCAGACAGGCATTGCCTAGCTTGGGCAAAGTGGATCCAGATCTAATGGCTGGGCTTCAAGGCTGGGCGGTTCACACTTTGGTCAAAAAAAGTATTGAAAACTCGCGGGTCTTGCCTTGCCTTTTTGTCTTTTCTTGCGGAAAAAACGAATCTATGTCAATTGCAAAACGTGCGCCGCGAAACCTGCACGGCAAAGCCTCGCGCGGCGCTGTCAAAAGCGAAAGTCGCGTCACGGGAAGTTTTGCGCCATTAAACAAAGCGAAACTTGCGTCGCAAAAGTTAGTCAATAGTGAAATTTGCGTCATTTTATATTTCAACATTTACGATTTTTATGTCTCGTATCACTTGTTTTTCATATTCACTTTTTCTTCACCGTATTTCATCCATGCTAAGTATTACTATTTTAGATAAGAAGTAGTGTAGCAGTCCACACTAACACTCTAACACATATTGAGGTATTTTGTATTGTTCTTGATTTGTAGAATTTTTAATTTTTAGATTATGCAACCAATATATTCCTCGAATGGAAAGAAGCTCATCCTCGACAAAGAAGGATATGTGTTATGCTATGAATCTCCGGCGCCGAGACTCCTCGCTTGTGCAATTCGATGATCGATTGTCGATGGGGGATTTTCCAGTCATTCTAAAAAAATACATTTCATATGAAAAACACAAAAAAGCCAGAAATGAAGCTTAAATCAACAAGTTATTGTCCGTGAACTCATCTAAAAATCTAAACATCTAAAATGGTTTGAAGACAACGATTCGATGCACTTTTGTCGATCGTAACCTCAAAAAACAACTCAAGGTGCTGAATGGTGCTCAAGATTTGAACATACAGGTTGCGCCATAATTGTCGCAACAGGGTATCACGCGCGTTCATTCTCATTTTCACGTAAACGTTAGCTTTGTTGAATTGCATTGAACATCACAAATAAATCACTCACATGTCGACGCCCAAGAAGCCCAATGGCACCGAATCCTTGTTCAAATGATACAACAAGACATAGAATATGGCCAAGGCTCGAAGGGCTTGGATCTCGCCAATTTTGGTGCTCATTCTGAAATTTTTATTCTAAAATTCTGAAAGCTAAAAAATTGAAATTGACAACAATGATCCACTTTCTTTCTTGCCAATTTTTGTGTCTTTTTGTCTTCGATCAAAAGATTAAAAGAATGAAAGACGAGATCAGAAACGGCGATAAAGAAGTCTCATGCTAATTTTTGGATTTTCGACTTTTTCCATCTGAAAAGGTTCAAGAATCCTCACCGAATTTGGCAAGGGTAAAGCGCCGCACAAGACAGGAGAAGAATAAGGTTGACTTTTTTTGCATTTCCAAGACCCATTATTTTATTTTTGCTTTATTTCATACATGAAATGCCGACTGTAGAAAGCGTTTATCACGTCACCCAAGAGAATTTATCGAAAACGATAAATTGGGCGAGATCCAAGCCCTTCGAGCCTTGGCCATATTCTATGTCTTGTTGTATCATTTGAACAAGGATTCGGTGCCATTGGGCTTCTTGGGCGTCGACATGTGAGTGATTTATTTGTGAATTTCAATTTGTATTGAAAATCAAAAGCTAATCAATTCAACAAAGCTAACGTTTACGTGAAAATGAGAGTGTTTACCACAAAGTTTTCCTTTCGACGACACAATGAGTCTCAAGAGTGTTTCCACAGACCTAAATACAGGGTGGCTGAAAAGTTCTTTCCGCTTTTTTTCTCTCTATCATAAAACTTGTAAAAGTCGAAAGTATCTCAAATTTTAATGTTTACTCTACGTCAACTATACAAACCAGGAGATGCAAAAAGTATGGTTTCAAAAAGTTTTTTAGTATTAATCCCTGTGAGCCAATACCGTTTTTCAGTTTGGTCGCGTGTCAATTTTCTGCAATTCGTTCTCTAAACCAGTTTTGATTTCCTAAGCAAATTTTGCACCACCGAT